TCCATACAAAACATTAATGTTGTTTTCAAAACGCGTTGATTCATTATACGCAAAATTTTATTGTAATAAATTTTTAAATTTAGTAAACAATACATAAAGAATTAATTCATAAAAAGTCATTATTGCCGTGGTCTTGTGTTGCTGTGAAACATATATTTTAGATATTAATACGTTAAATAAGGGACAAAGCTCATTTTATAATTAAAGAATTTTATTTATACAAAAAAAATTTACAACTTTTGTTATTTAGATTAAAATCTTATGTCAAAAGATTTTGTAGTCTCGTCAACTATAAACGAACAAAAAATTATTTTCACTAGAAAGAAAGCATATGGCACCAGCCTTTTCGAAAATATTATTTAACCAAGATATTATTTGATTGAAACTTATAGCGATACCATTTTTTTAGGTTTCGCAAGTAATATGTTTATGCGTTCTCTAACTTCTAAAAGTTGTTGCTCCTCTTACTCAATCTTATATAAATTTAAAAAACGGTTTTAATTATTGGAAAAAAAAATTTTTTTTTTTTTCACAAACATAAGAATCAAAATTATAGTTTATAACGTCGTACTCGGCCAGCTTGGTACACGTACATAACTACCCCGAGTGCAACGGTATGACTGCCGTGCCCCAACATCGTAGCCTAAAGTACCCTGCACAGCTATGGATTTTGCCACTAATAACAAATGCCACTAGCTCACCATTGACGAGCCACTAAAACTCCTTCAAGGAGCCACTACAGTACCCCTACAAGCCACTACTCGCAATCCCAGGAGCCACTCATCACGAATCTGGAGCCACTAATCGCTATGCTTGAGAAGGGCACGAAGTATACCTCGCGACCCGAGTTTCTTCTAACCAGGTGTAGGGTAGCCACTAGTTTTCCGGCCCCAAAAGCCACTAACCCGAAGAGAGGGGCCCGTAAAATTCGTCCCACTGTCTCACGCGCCTTGCTCACACTACCACCACTGCGTATTTAAACAAACCATACTGAGCCTGGTGCTTACGATCTTCCGGTTTCTTAAGACTCCTGTTGTTCGATCCTGGCTCTGGCCCCAGACTTCTTACAACCCTTACAGCCACCCGATCACACTCAGCTAGCCAAGACCCAATAACCCTTTTCCTCGTCAAGCTGGCCACGGGAAAAAACCAAAATCGTGAGCCACACAAATCCAAATCCAATCCAGCCCTTTTTTATTCATTTAATCGTCCCTTAACCCTTTCTGACATAAGGTTTTGACTGGCAAATTGTACCAGCGCCTTCACCGGTCTAGTCCTCATGTTTCAGACCATTCTACTTCCTCAAGAGTGGAGGCGCCGCACAGTGGGGTATTTTTTTTTTTTTTTCAAAATCAAATATCTGAAGAACGGATTAAGATAGAATGATAATTTTTGTTGGTGCATACTCGTAAGTTGATGTGGAATACGAGAAAAACATTTATAAGAGAATTTTTTTTTTCTAACCTCCAAATTTTACAAAAAACCACGATTTTTTTCAGAAAAACGTATAAAACTGTTTTAAATTTAACCAAATTCTCACTTCAGTCTGCAGAAAGCTGTTTGATATGATATCATAGGATGTAAGTGGCTATATTATCTAAATATGACTACCTTTAAATGTTCAACATAACCTAAAAACAGCAAAAAGCGATGTATTTTGATAAAAAATCCTATATCTTTCCCACCAATAAAAGTTAAAAACGTGAATTTGGATCAACCATAACAATAACATATAAAGGGTTTAGTTTTTTTTGTGTTCCATTTTATTACACTAAAAATTTTTCGATTTTGAAAGAGGTTTCACATTGCATTCATTTCTCCTTTTGTCAATATTTATCATTAAGATAAGAGGATCGGATAGATACATGGCCCTATTAAACATGTCTTCGATACGATGACTTCTGCTGTCTTGTCTGGCACGATTTGAGAAAAAATATTTAAAATAATTTTGATATTAAATCTCATAATAATTGTCATCTGCATAATATTACAGCTTAAAGTTTGGATACTTTAGTAATACATTACCTATAATATTTGTGCCATGATTCACATGCATCTTCTGAGAAGTAGACCATAGGCATTGGGAATTTTCTCGCTATTGCGAACCCATGCATAAGTAATTTGTGTACCGAAGGGCTTAGTCTTGACCATTTATACAATTTGTAGTTTAATTTATACATTTTCAAGAAAAACTCTTCTAATTTATCAAGATCTAAAGGTTTCTTGCATTTAAAAGCAGTAATTATGGTAGCGATATTGCATACAAGGGTACTATCTATCTCTATAGCTTCTTATGATATAATTTTTTTTGCACTATCTTCTTTTGCTTTTCAACAGCTTCTATTTTTAACATTTAAAATAAACTATATTACTTTTATTACTACATGCTTAATTGTGTTTAATTTCTAAGGTAGAAGTAGGGTTAAAAATATTTTGAATTGATATTTCGCTAGATTTGTTAATTACAAAAACGATTACAAACTTGCCGTGTTAAGGGGTATTGTATCTTAGTCTATTGGGTTATAAGATTCTTGAGCTTCAGTTTTTTCGTTATTCAGTTTTATAGCTTACAAAAATGATAACTGGTTTTTGAATTTTTGAATTTATCTTACTGATCAGGCATCAATTTCCAATTAAAGTCTTGTCAGTAGTTTTACTT